TCTGGGGTTGGTGAAGATCTTTTCCCATTCTGTAGGCTGCCATTTTGTCTTGTTGACTATGTTCTTTGCTTTACAGAAGCTTCTCAGTTTCAGGAGGTCCCATTTATTAATTGTTCTCTGTGCTACTGGCATTTTATTTAGGAAGTGGTCTTCTGTGCCTATGCATTCAAGTGTGTTTCCCACTTTCTCTTCTATGAGGTTCAATGTGGGTGGATTTATATCTAGGTCTTTGATCCATTCCTACTTGAGTTTGCCACATACCTTCTTACTGCTGCCAATTTAAAAATAAAATCAGAGGGCAATACACTGAAGAGTGATGGCATTTATTGGTCCTATAACTGCCCAGAATTGGTCCTGTTATAGACACTCAGGTAGCGGTAGCTCATATACTTATTCATGTGAATGATTAAAAGATCCCCAATCCAGAGATCAGGATTGCTTGGCCTCGAGAGATAGTTTGGAAAGAGACCCAGCATCCAAGTCCATACCACTGAAGAGCATTTTAGTGAGGCTAGTGGGATAATTCAGTTGACAAAATGCTTGCCATGTAAGCATGGAGGCCTGAGTTGATATCCCCAGCAGCCACGTTAAAAGCTGGAGGTGTGTGTCTGCAATCCCCACATGTGGAGGCAGAAACAAGAGGGTGCCTGAGACCTGCTGATTTGCCAATCTGATCAAATCAGTGAGCTCCAGGTTCAGTGAGAAGCCCTGCCTGAAAACCACCAGACATGGACCCCCCCCACACACACACACACACACACACACGGTCTTTTCTATTTTAGTTTAGTGGTTTGATTTGGTTTTGACTTTTAGGAGACAGAGCCTCTTTGCAGTCCTGACTGTCCTGAAACTCACTGTGTAGATCAGGCAGACCTCAAATGCACAGAGATCTACCTGCCCCTGACTTCCAAGTGTTGAGATTAAAGGCATGAAAAGGATATTTTATTAGGCTGTCCGGGGCCATGCTCACTTTATAGAAAGGCAAAATCAAGGGAATTCAAAGAAGGAACTGAGCCAAAAGGTATAACAACAATGGCCTTTTATATCCTCTTCTCTGTTCATTCACTGTCAAATAAGAGCTGCAGCCAAGGAACTCTAAGGATGACAACCAAGTGAGGGACACAGCTTAGAGCCAGGTTTAGCCCAATCCTTTCTACTGGTTAGCTGTGCAGCTTCACTTCTTCCAGTCTTCTCTGGGCATATGTCCTTGCTGTAAAAATAGTATCATCAATGACACCTAATTATTGGGGCTATCAAGTGAATTAAAGAGAACGGTGAGTGTTCAGGCCTGGCCCAAAGAACATGAACCTTGACTCTCTGTCTTTGTCTCTCTCACATTTCCTTGGCTATTCATAAGCTAGAAGCCCTCCCTTCACCCCTGAGTACCTCTGGCAAGACACCAATCGGTGCTCGAGCAGCTTTAGTGTAACACTGTCCTTGTACTGTACTGTACTGTCTGTACTGTACTGTATTGTGTTGTATTGAGAATGAGACTATTGACTAAGTAAATTTAGAGACAGTTAAGCTTTGTTTTCTTTCTGAGAGTTTTTTTTGTTCTGGGTCACTATAAAATAGGTACCGCATTGCTAAATAAACTCTTTCCCATTTGTTTGGTTTTTTCAGTGCATAGGCACACACATATCTTCTGCCTGTGTGGAGGTTCACTGTGTGAGGGTTTGCTGTGTGGGGGCACGCTGTGTAGGGGCTCACTGTATGGGGGCTCACTATGTGGGGGCTTACTGTGTAGGGCTCACTGTATAGGGGCATGCTGTGTGAGGGTACCAATATATGTGCAAGCAGAAGCTCCAAGCTGATGGATTATCCTCAATGGCTCTTCTGTCTTGTTAATTGAGGAGGAATCAGCTCACTGACAGGCTTAGTCTTGCTAGGCAGCTTGCTCTGTGGATGTCTTATCTCTGCCTTCCAAGGCTGGCATCACCAGTGAATAGTCCCAACTTCGCAGTATTTCCAGGAGCTCTGGGGATCTGGACTCTGACCCGTACATTGAGGCAGCAAGTGCTTTGACCACTGAGCCACCTCCCTGTCCACTTAGCTCTTTTTGTAAAAAACAAACTTTTTCCAAAAGTCTTATTTGAAGTTTCAATTATTTGAAACAGGCCACTTTGCTTGAATGGAGCTTGTCCACCTTTATTAATCTTCAAAGAACACCATTCACTTCCAAAGTAAATCAGTATTCTGAACTTGCTTCTCTTGGTCTTTGTTCCCAGTTCCTGTAAGCATTCCCATCAGAACTCGAGGCAATTAAAAGATGCACTTCCCTTTGAATTGGCTGAAGCATTTAAGTGACTAACTTTTTAGATCCAGTTTAAACTGAACACCACAAAATTTCTTATTAGTACAAATATATGAACTGTTCTGCATACACGTATACTGACCAGTGGCTCCCAAGGCATGTTTTAATTATGAAATAGAAGGAAATAAAATACATCTTCAGACACAAGTTATGAACTCTCCCACCACAAACAATGTTTGATTTGTGGATTATAGGGTGTCTATTTTATAATTCTGTATTACATATGGGACTTAACCTTAACACTTGCTTTTTTGTTTTGCTTTGTTTTGTTTTGTTTTTGCAATGTGTGTGAGTACTTGCATATGTGGATTGGTACCACATGGGTGCAGTACTAGCACAGGTCAGAAGAGGGCATCTGATTCCCCAGTAGGGGCAGGTGAAGTTACAAACATGGTTAGCTTGGCTTCCAGGTGGGTGCTGGAAACCAAATTCAGATCTTCTGCAAAAGGAGCAAGTGCGCTTAACGCTGAGCCTTCTGCATCTCACCTGGATTGATTGATTGATTGATTGATTGATTGATTGATTGATTGATTTTTATGTAACAGTTAAATGGCTCTCTAAAAGCATAGTCTCAAAAAAAAAATGATACCATTTTTTTTGAAACTGGGAGTGTTGGATTTGGAGACGGCTTCTGGATTTCACTGGTGGCAATTACTCCCTCTATAATAGTCAATAACCTGGAGACACAGCCTGTGGGTGTTCCCAACACTTACTTATACAGTTGAGAATAAAACAATGGAAGTGTACATCACACTATGCTTCTGTGGCTTAATTAGATCAAAGTGCATAAATTTAACTTTCAAGTAAGCAAATTGTCCATCTGTCTGATTACAATTCATTAACACATGGCTCCTACATATCTTTTACTTGACCCGTGTGAAATATTAACCTGCAGTTAAGATGAGGAGAGAGAAGTGAAATGCCATTCATTTTTTCAAACTCAGAAAATAAATACAAAAGAGCACTGGACTGGTTGTACCAGGATCGGTCAGAGGAGCAGTCACATGATTCAGCTGGCCACAGAGCAGGAGCAGACATCCCATAAACCACTTATACCCCTGACTCATGAACACTCTCCACTTTGCTCTCACCCTCCCTTGGAGCCCACAATCAGAAGATAGTGCTCTAGTGGGAAAATCCCTGCTTCATCAGACTGCCAAGAGCGACCCCTAGGTCACTGCAGACCCTCATCTCTCCCAGCTAAACCAGGACCTCAGAGAAAGTCCCCCTTTTTCAACTCTCCTTCAGGGAGTAGGGTCCAGGCCTGCCCAACCCCACCTCCCTCTGTGTTAAGAGGTCTCCATTCTAATCCTGAAATTCAAATTCACAGTCGGCTAGGGCACCAATCACTCTGTGTGGTAGCAGCCTGAAAATTCCCAAGGGAACCCTTAAGTCCTTCCTCCTATTTCCTGTACCCCTTTGTCTGAGCCTCAGTTTCTCCATACAGGCCCCATACAAGTTTTGGAATGCCTTGCATGCTCTAACATTTGCAAGCCAAAGAATACAAATCTGTGAGGGACGACCCATGACTGACCCTGGGCCACCACACCCTGATTCAACTTCTAAGCCTGTGCAAGTCCCATAAACTCTCCTAACCCTACCTGTGTAAACACATTTTACTGGGCCTGGCTATTCCTCCCCCACCTTCTGCTCTTTTGTCCCACCTGGCCATTTCTCCAGCACCACGCCTCTGCACGGCATCCTATATCTATGCTCCAATCCTGGCTGCCTCCCTCGCTCTCTGCTCCAGCACCTGAATCCTTTCCCATCTCCTGGGGTGGGGACTTGTTTCTCTTATCAGCCTGTCCTCCTCCTCATTTACACGAAGTCCTTTGAGGAGAATCTCTGGCGAGATAGAGCAGTGACACTCAGCTCCAGAGACCGACAAAGAATCGTTGGGGCTGTCTCACAGACAGGTAAAGGGTGACCAAGCAGGGAAGAAGTAGAAAAGACCCAAAAGACAGAGAGGCAGGTGTCTAAAGAGTTTAGTATGTGACTGGAGACCTGGGAGAGAATAAAATAAAGCCAACAGCAGCTGTGAGACACAGAGGAAGAGTCTGTGAAAGAAACCAAGGGCCTGGCAGTGACCCGTCACTTCCTAAGATCTAAAGAGCTGGCAGTCTCATTCTGGAGACTGGAAGCTGAAGTGCAGAAGTCCTCCAGGGAGCAGCAGAGAAGACCCCTCAAGCCACAGGGAAGCTCGGGGCTCACTTGGCCACCTAGGGCCCATAGGTGGCACCCCGGCCTCTCAGGATCTATATGGGGCCAGCAGGAAGGGGACACAAGTCAGAGAGAAGACAAAGGTGGACAGGACACTGGCTCCAAACCTCACCCCACCAACCCTTCTGGTTTTCTCTTTGTTTCTGTTGCCCTTGAGCAGTAATCACCTTGGCTGGTGTTTGGAAAAGACATCACTTCCAAGAAGTGTGCAAGACCTGTGCACACAGGACAAGCACCTGCCAGCTCTTCTGCTGAAAGCTACCTCCTGGTCTTGGAGTTGTACTAGGTCCATGGAAGTCCCTGTGTCCAAGGAATCGTGCCTGACTCAACTAGCATCGGGATCCTTGATCACCACCACTGTGTGTCCTCTAGGTCCCCAGAAGCTCCAGGAAAAAAGTACACCACCCTCTGCTGGCATCACCCTGAGTACACACAGTGTTCCTCCCAGCCAGCTTCAGGACAGGCCATGGCAGGCCCTATGATCCACAGGGACATGGAGAAGGAGAGATCAGGGTACAGTGAGGCCCCAGAAAAGCTGAGCCTGTCCTTCTCCATTGATGCTATCCTGAGGAAGCCCACAGAGAGAAGAAATATGCCCACACCACAAAGCATAGGCAGAGAGGATTCCAGGCAAACGGCAACCCCAAGTTCTAAGCTAGAGAGGCTCCCACAGGATCAGCCCAAAGGTAAGTGATTTCTGATCATTTCCTTCTGTTTTGTGGACTCTGGGGAGGCTCTGATGGTCCTTGTCAATCAAAAAGGGGGCTGTATCATCCAATGGGATAGTAGTAGGTTCTAGGCCAGATGGTGTGTGTTTGTTTTTTAGGCCAGATGCTTTTTAAGTCTTTTAGTCCAAATCAGAACTGTGGAATTCAAAATGCAGAAGCCTACCGGCTTAGTCCATTGCAAAACACAGGGACATGGAACTTATTCTTATGACCAGACTATGACTAGGAATTGTCAGCCACATTCGCTCTGCATTGATGAGGTGGCAGGCACTGACCTTTCATTTGGGCAAAAGTTATGGCTACTGGACTGATATAAGGAAAGAGGTGGACAAAATCACTAAGTTACAAAACTGGAAGTCACAAGCTGAACTCGGCCTGGCACACCCAAACGCTTGCTTCTAGCACATTCTCCCCATGAGTTGAGATCAGCCCGCATGGCTTCTAGCAGTTGAGGCTTTGCCAGGTTCTGTCCTCACAAGACTCCCCACACCCAAGTCTGCAGCCACCCTAGGGCACAGAACTACATAAGAGACCAAACAGTTTTCAGGCCAGTCTTCAAGCCAGCCTTCACTCAGGGCAATGGATACCCTTACTATGGGAGCTAGGATGGCCCGGGTTGGGGGGAAGCAGGGGTGACTGTCCTGCTGTGTGACTTTAGGGAAGTCTCTAGTCTCTCTGATCTCAGTTTCACTCTGTGAAGCAGCTCAGGGAATGGGAGTTGGGGTGTTGGTGCTTATGAAGTCACAAAGGCCATTTAGTCAGAGTCTGTAAGCCTGGAGTATCCCACGCCAGACCTTTGTCTTTCCCATTTTCACCCCTTTTGTCTAAGAAAATGCTTGACAGGAAACTCAGGAGAGTCCTAGATGGCATTGCCTCCCCACACAGACCCCTTCCCCTAGCCAGTCTCTCCCAGAGGTTCCTTACAGGAGCTGTGCCCAGCTGCAGGCAAAAGAACAATCCAGGAGAGATGCTGCTACCAGCAGCAGGGGAGCTGGCTGGTTCCCTGATAGAAAGGGGACTTGGGATCAACTTTCAAAAGTTCATCGCTGCCTCACAGTCAATTGAGAACTCACAGAAGCCAATTCACTGGGGCCTTTAACCTGGGTCCCTCCTGCTGCAGCTGTATAAGCCATACCACATTCACCCATCACAGTGAAAGGGAGGAAGTGCTACTGATATGATAGCTAAAAATAGACTGCTCTTTCTAGGCTGTCATTGAAGATTCTAGCATGCTCTATGTATATATTTCTGCTATGCCAAGAGCAGACATCAGAAGGTGCTAGCCAAAATAACAGCCACAGCATTGGAGGGTGCCCCAAGGCCTCACAGCACTTGTTCTAGCTCGTGATCATATGTGTGAGCCTCACTTTGGAGAAGGCAAACCCATAAAAGGAGAGAAATTACCCATACAAACTGTATAAGCAGTTAGCACTAGCACTGGAGGCCTAAGGCCATGCACAGGAAGCTACTTTTGATCATAATTTAAATCCCTCTGGTCCTCCTGCTAGAATTCATTTTCCCAACCCTTAGAGCAGGTCTCTTTGGCAGTTTATGACTTTGGAGGCTCTCAGATGAAAAGCCACTAAGTTCTGGAGTTACTATCACCCTAGCTTCTGATGGTGTCAAAAGTGCTGGTTAACCAGTAGTGTCAGGGCAAAAGGATCTCTTTTCAAATGTGTGCATGTGAGCAAAACAAAAGGTGAAGATGAGGAAAGCTGAATCAGGCACAGTGCAAACAGGTTGCCAATGTGGCAGCAAGTACAAAGGTAGCCTGTGGATGTCTGTGGGATATGCTGGATGCGCAGGGCTGGGTACGCAGGGGAGGAACTCAAGACACTGACCACTAAGCCCAGACATGGCACAGGTGCATAGGGGGACTTTCAGCAAAACACTTCTCCCTCTGGGCCTCAATTTCCTCAAAAGTAGCATGAAAGAGCATATCTAGATTTCCCTAAAGTTCTTCCAACTCTCACATGCCTTGACTGATTCAACAGTAAATTGTTGGAAAATCACGGAGAAGACCACGCCAGTCATTTTCCCTAGCAGAGACTTCCTCTGTGCAGAATTTCCAGCCACATTGCCAGGTGGAAAGGAGCAGGGTGGCTAGCAGGCAGACCCTGTCAAACATCCTTGCCCCTCTCTACCATCTGAGAAGCTCCAAATTCAACTCAGGATATGTTGCTGCTGGCCAATGCCCTTACGTTCCTTGCATTCCATCCCTCTTCTGGGAGGGATGCACCCTACCCAAAGAGGGAAGCACCCAAGAATAGCATCAAAGCTTTAGGTCCCTCCCTCACTGTGGCATTGTATATGGACATGACTCCATGGAGTGCTAGTAGATAGATAAAAGCTCCAGAGATGGTTTGAATCTGAAACTTCACCCACAGGTTCATGTTCTGAGTTCTTGTTCCCCAGCTATGGGACCTTTAGGAAATGAGGTTGGCCAGAAGAATTATGCCACTAAGAGTGAAGGATATACTTTGGCCCCAAGTTCCTTTCTCATTCTGCACTAGCCAATAATGAAGTGCACAGCCCCTGATATCACATCCTGTGGAAGGAGCTTGGATTAGCTGTGGTGTTTCAGGTCATATGTCCAAGATGGTGACACAAGCTCAAGGAAAGGCTACACAAATGAATCTGGTTGTCCATGGAATTCTTTGATGAGGCTGGGGTTCCAAGAGGTAAAATGGGGTGTTCAAGTCTAAAGTTCATAAGGAGCAGAACCAGGCCTGTCATTCAGGTCCCCGGCCAATTTTGAGTACTGCCCATCTTGACTTCCTAGCAAGGAGAAAGGTCCATTCCCCAACTTCTCATTCTCATATGGACCCTTTTAGATCTCAAATCAGTAGAAACATCTAAATCTGTCTCCCTAAGTGAAAGGATATTGGACCCAACTGCCCACTTACTTCTCCTGAGAGGGGCTAGCTGCCTGAAACCCAGGGACCTTCTTCCAAAGCCAAGGGAAAACCAGTCGAGAGGAAGTCTCTCTCAATACTGGAGACTCAGAGCCTGAAAAGGAAGGCATTATCTCTCCCTCTAGTGAACATCTGAAATCCTAGCCCTAGGGGAAATGGTGAGCTCAGAAGAGACATCAATAGGGTTGGCCTGTGTGGATCGCCAGCCTCTGAGAAATCTTTCACATTTTTTCCCCTGTTCATGAGCTGTTTGACTACCTCTGTGAAGAAGTGTGTTCCCTGGGCAGGAAGGCAACTAAGAAGGTAAAAGGGAAATAAAATCAGAGGCAGTGACTGCCCACATATGGCAAGCTCTGGCCAACCACCAAAAAAGCTCTGACCAAGTTCACCATGGAGCAGTGCCAACCTCTGCCCATCTTGTCTGATGGAGCTGGCTAGGGGCAGAATGACATTCTGTATGTTTAAGGGATACCCTACAGCAAGAATCAGCAAAATTGTTTTTCCAGCGAAGGATAATACTGTAATTCTAATCTTTAATGGTGGTCTCTGTCACAATTACTCTACTATGGGAATTGAAAATATCTATAAACAATGTGAAAAGCATAGGTATATTTGTATTCGAGTAAAACTTTCTTTTAAAAAAAAGGAGACAGTGGGTTCATTGGTCCTCATGATATGGCTGCTCAGCTTCTGCCCCTAACTCATTTCTGGGATACTCAAGGTCCTATACATAACCTGACCTGCTTGTCTCTCTGCATCAATCATGATTACTCTCTCAGATGTTCTCTTTCTACCCACAAAGTATCTACTTCTAAACCTTTCCTCTTTCAGATGTCCTATACCTCCAGTCTTTACAAACCACATCTCCCCTATGTTTTTCTCTCTTCTTCTCCTCCCTCTGGTGAGCTTCCTAACCTCTCTCCCAACTGCCAATGCTTCCGATAGCCTGTCTTCATAGTCACAAGTGTGTGTGTGTGTGTGTGTGTGTGTGTGTGTGTGTGTGTGTGTGTGTGTACAGAGACAGAGACTCCCCCCTCTTCTGAAGAACATGTGTCATTGGATTCATGCCCACCCTAACTTCAGAGTAGTCACATCTTGAGAGCCTTGACTGAATTATTTCTACAGAGACTATTTCCAAATATAGTCTCATCCACTGTTAAGAAGGGTTTGAAACTGAACATATCTTTTGGGAGCAGTATCCTACCTACAATAGGTCTCTTCTGCCCCCTTTATTTTACTCTTCTTCCTTCTACTCTTCTCTTCCTTTTTTTCTATTCTCCCTTCTCTGTCCCTTTCATAGTAGCCTTCTCCTTCTCCCCTGGAAAAGGGATTCTGTTTCCTGGAATCAAAGACAGCTGTCCTTCCCTGAACATCTGGAGATGGAGCCTGTGACCAAGGACCATTGTGTCCATCACTTTATGATTATTGGCTTTGACTGATTGATGAGTATACCCAGGGACTCCCCTCAAAGCAGACAGGAGAAGGCAGGAAGATTATTTGTTACTGTCACACAGCTGGGACAGACAAATTGACAGGAACAGTTTACAGGAAGAAAGATTTATTTGGGCTCACAATCTCAAAAGAGTTCATCCATGGTCACTTGTCCTCATACACTTGGGCATGACACCATGTGTAGAATGAAGAGTCTGTGCACTTCATGGCAGGAAGCAGAGGAAGGGAAGGGACTTAGAATCCTGTATAATCTTCAAAGGCAACAAATGCAGTCACCTACTTCTTCTGGCTACACCCTACCTCCCAAAGTTACCCCCAACTTCTCAAAGTAGCATAGTAAGGTAGGGACCAATTGTTCAAAGCATGATCTGGAATATTCAAACCGTAGTAGATATAGTGTTGGATGCTGGTACTTCTTCCAAGGGGCACATGGTTTTGTCTCCCTCCATTGTATCCTATGAACCTCACATCTATATCTCCTCCACCAGAGCCATAGACTAACTTTGGAAAGGAAAGGTTTTAATTTTGGTTCACAGTTTCCTGGGCTTCAGGCTATTATCTGATGGCTCCATTGGTCTGGGCATGTGATGG